TAAGGGCATGTTCTGGGGTGGAGACGGTCACTGGGGGGGGGGAATACCAGACGGTTTGCATGACCAGATGTGCAGACACTGCTCACATCCTGGAACATGCAGCTTTTGCCCTCTTATATATGTATCTCCTTTTGGGGAGGGGAACATTTGGCCATGTGACTTTTTTTTTTCTTTCTTTAGAAAGTGGATTAGGTACTTGTACTATTCCTGAGCGTTACATGGTGAACTCCCCTGGTATTAATGACCGCATCTGAAGAAGCAAATCTCTGACACATGCGGTTTCCATTTAGATTAAATGGCACGTGCATTTTGGAAAGGTGCCTTATTGAAAGACCGACATTTGATGCAGTAGTTACTTTGATGGCTAGTGACTAATGTTTGCAGTAAAATCCAGTGCAAATCGCTAAGATACAGTTTAAACCCATCTTTGGTATCCAGCCAGGAAAAACTGTGGAAAGAGAAAGCTGCACAAAAAGAAGGATGGCTTAGTCAATAGAGAAACCAAGGAATTTAATCATGATAGGCCATATTCATCCTATTTGCTTCAAGGGAGTTACTCCAGGGATGAATTTGGCCCAGTCGATGTATTTGTATCATCTATTGTTAAACTTGGAAAACTCTATGAATGTTAGTGTACATAAAATATCAGTACCTCAGAGAATGAGCTCTAGTGGACAAGATAAACGGCTGGTACTAATGAAAGCGAAATCAAGTCTGTGAAATCAAGAGATATTTGTAGCAATCAGACAGAAAAAAATCCCATTTTGAGCTCTGTTCTTTTACACGGATGCACAAAAATAAACAGTACCAAACCCACTCTCTCCCCCCACACACACACACAAACCAAAGCCCATAACAACAAAGCCCCTTCCATCTCACTGACCCTTCCTGATGGTCAGCCAAAAATGAAAAAAAGTGAATGAAGATGACCTCTAAAGGAAAACAGCAGCCCTGGGAACATATGCAGTGAGTTAAGGACACAGTGGCAGCTATATTTTAGAATTGTCTGTCTTTTGTCAGTGGAAGTCAAAGCCCTAATAGAATGGTAATGTAGCTTTTCTTCACATGAATTACTTTTGGTATTTTAGTTTATGCTTTATTAAAGTTCTGTTTAAAACACACTTCCAAACCTTTTACAATTTGGATTGTCTTTTTGCAACCACAGCCCTGCCCAATGGCCACTGTCAGAAACTCTTCCCAAACGTTGCCCAAATCGGGCAGATTTATGGCAGTCTATTGCACCTGAAGAGATACATGCTTGAACAGGGAGAACCATGCATTCCACCCACTTTTTCAGAACTGGGCCTAGTCCCACAGAAGTTGGTAATGGGTACACTGAAAAAGTCTGTTCCACTACCTATGATCAAGTCTCATGCCAGTCTTGGCTGTTCCAAGTCAGCAAGGTAAGCCTTGGCCGACTGCTGACAAGAGGACGCCCTGAAACAGTCCATAGTAGGACTATTGAAAGAACAAACCAGGTGGCCTGATTTTCAGAGATACTATTTACCCACAACTCCATTTGAAGTTCATGAGAGCTGTGGCTACACAACAACTCTGAAAATCAAGCCCTACATTCACTGCCAATCATCTTGCTGACTACGATGTAGATTCAAACCTCTCTTTCCCAGGTGAAGTTAGCAAGAATGATTCCCCCAACACCTGGCCTCTGCTTATATTCCTGGTACTGCCTACTTTAGGTTTAGTCCAAGTTCTGGCACAAACACAGCGCCAGCTGCATTGATGACCCCTGTGTGATTTAAAAACAAAAACCAAAAACCAAAAAAACCCAGATGGTTTCTAAAATAAAAATTGTAGGCCCTTTCAGTACTAAATAAAAACACAAAAAGCCCTGAAATGTTCTGAGACCATTAGCATTCTTTTTCAGTAAGCTGATGTCTGTAAATGCATAAATTTGACAATAATGTCCAGGAACTAACTAGGGCAGACTAGCTGCTATGTTAAAAGAAATATTGAAATTAGCCAATTTATGCAACTGTTAAAAACAAAATACGCCCCCTCCCTACCTTCCTGCAACAGGTTTCTGAGATTGGCTGCAAGAAAGTTATATTAAATGCAAAATGACATTAGTTAGCCTTTCAGAGCTTACTGATATAACCGTAGAAGGGCACTTAATTTCTCATTACAATAAAAGTTGTATACAAAATTCTTAAACTTTAATCAAGAAACTTGGAAAATTACTTTTTTATTCATTTAAGTAGCGTATGTAGATAATTGGACTTGTTTTATTTAGAAGTCAATATTTATCAACTAAACTACCATGACATAATGCAGTTAGTCAAATGTCAGTACATGGGGACTAAGCGCTTCTGAATCCTACTCTTGGATACAGGTCAGTTGGTCTACATTAAGTCCTAGAAAACAGAAAATTGTTTCCTCTTGGTAAGAGATGTGATCTGGTAATAGTTTGAGCACAGAGCTGGAAGGCCAGAATTCTTGAGGTTCAGTCCTGTCTGGTTTTGCTACTGGTTTGGGTTGTGACATTTTGTATATTGGGTAAACTGGGGCACAGAAAGCTTAACTCTGTAAAATACATGCATCACAGTGATGTCCTCAGAACTAATTCATATTTGTTTAGTGTTTAGAGGTCCTCAGACTTAAGGTGCCATGTACATGGGGGAAAAAAGTTTTTATATTATTTATTACTGTTCTAAATGATTATGTAAATTTTTTTTAGCATCCATGATCTTGCAAAGTCTGCAATATTAATTGTCAATAGCCATCTGTCTTTATGCACTCTCTCTCTAGCTGATAGAACGAGGAGTACTAACACGGCTACCACTCTGAAACCTGTCATTCTAGCTGATGGAATTTATTAAAGAAAAATGACCACAGATTAAATAAAATGGAATTTATAATTTCTACACTAGGAGTTAGTAGTGTGGTTCTACACTTTTTTAAGAATAATGCTGCATTTTGGTTAAGCTTTTCAGTGCTGCTCTAGCTATAGTCTACAAAAGATGTTGTTTTGCATATAATTATAATACTTATTAAAATGTGACTAAAGGTTTAATACTGATGAACACTTCATTCGTAAGATAAAAGCTTCCATTAACTTAAACTATTATTATTCATATTTTTTGCAGAAGCCATTCATCTCCTAATTTCAGCTCTTAGTGCATAATGAGTGCTCACAAGTGTGTGAATGTCCATATTTCCCATATCTAAAAAGAGAGAAACAATGCAGACACTTCTGTAGTGATTGAGAGAGAACAGCACTGAGCTTTGAAATTTCCTGGTTATTGCAGCAGAACAAGATACAATGTGAGAGAACCTAACTCTAAAAGAAAACACTCTGAGTAGTATCAAAGGGCTAAATAAATGGGACTACTAGTGGGACAGGATATTATTCTGCGTGAGTAAGGCTTGCAGAATCTGGCCCAAATAATCAGGTTCCAGTGATTGTTATAGCAATTTCCTATGACTCTCCATTAGGGGAGTGCTCTTTCTCTGAATTTGCTATATTCTCCACTGCAATTCTCAGTGTAATTGCCACATTGTAAGATGTATGATTTCAATGGGGCTACTGATGAAGCACAGCAACATTCAATGAAAGTAAGGACAGCAGAATCTGGCTTTATAATAGGGAAGATACGTCACAACACATTACCAGCTCAAATGAGAGTGTCTCAGTTGGAAACATAACCAAGTTAACGAAAGAGCAGAGCCATTAATGAGCTTGTCTTCATTGATTAAAACAACTTTTTTTTTTAAACTTCGGGGTAAGTAACGTGTGAGTTATCCTGAGGTAAAAACACAGTGAAGACAAGACACTGAAGTTTTACCACAAGGTCAGCTCTATACATGAGCATGGATAGCAGACTCTGGTCCTGCGTCAGAATAAGAGAGGTTCAATTTTATTCTCTATTATGTAGGTTTTTATATCCCGCTCATCACCATTGTATCCAAGCATCTTCCAGTAGTGTATTAGCCATGTGACTACACATCTGTCACATGTTGGTTGTTCTCTTATCCTCTGCTTCCCAGAGGGAGAAGTGGGTGCAGCAGAGTGTCTTGTTTTGGTAATGAGTGTCTTATATTATTTAAAAAAAAACCCACACACATAGCAACAGGCACTTATCTTAGAAAAGGCAAGGTCAAAGAAATGTGCCTGGCACTTGGAGCAGACAGTGGTGAAGTTTGTGATCGTCATAAACTCCCCCAGGAGCTAATTCCACAGTCTCAGACCATGCCGGAAGACAGTTCTGTCTCCCACACATGAGCTTTACACTTATTGTTGAGAGTTCCATTGTGTCCGAGGATTAGAGTTGTTGACTGTGGTCTTCATCCCAGAGCTTTAGATCAGTGGTTCTCAACCAGGGGTATGTGTACCCCTGGGAGTATACAGGGGACACATCAACTCATCACTGGACATTTGCCTAGTTTTACAACAGGTTACATAAAAAGCACTAGCGAATTTCATAATTCATACAGATAAAATGAGAAAGTAAGCGATTTTTCAGCAATAGTGCTGTGACACTTACTTTTATGTGTGATTTTGTAAGCAAGTAGTTTTTAAGTGAGGTGAAATTTGGGGATATGAAAGACAAACCTGACTCCTGAAAGGGGTACAGTAGTCTGGAAAGGCTAAGAATCACTGTGTTAGATGATCTTTTAGATGTCCTGGAGCCAAGCCATCCAGCATTTTGAAGAGAAGGACTGAGACCTTGAACTTGATTTGATATTCTATGGGAAGCCAGTTGAGAGAGAGCGAGAGAGGACAGTGCTGCAGCGTTCTGTACTGATTGGAGTTTCCTCAGCACTGAAGGCTTCATGCCCAGGTATATCACATTGTTCTTGTTTGGATTACAGGTGACAAAGGCATGAATAACTGAGACTCATAGGCGTGGACTCTGTGGGTGCTCTGGGGCTGGAGCACCCACAGGAAAAAAAGTAGTGGATGCTGAGCACCCACTGGTGGGCCCCACCGATCAGCTCCTCCCCCTCTCCCCCAGTGCCTCACGCCCGCTGCTGATCAGCTGTTCAGTGGCAGGCAGGAGGCGATGGAGGGGGGGAGGAGTGGGGACAGGAAGAGGCAGAGTGAGGGTGAAGCGGGCTTGGGGATGGAGACAGAATGGGACAGGAAGAAGTGGGGTGGAGGCACAGCAGGGATGGGAAGAGATGGGAGGGGGGGAAGGGGTGGACTGGGGGTGTGGGGCCTGAGATGGGGTAGGGGTGGAGCACCCCCAAGGAAATCAGAAAGTTGGTGCCTGTGCTGAGGCCAGATCTTTGTCCACCAGGATGGGATGGAGTTTCCTAGCCAAGCGGAGATGGTAGAAAGCATTCCTTTCAGATGCTGCTATGTGAGAGTTCAATAGCAGGAAGGAATCCAAGAGTGCTCCTAGACTATAGACTGAATTGACCAGTTGTGCACGGTGGTTGCAAGCGCTTCAAAATACCTTACTCTGACCAACATCACCTCTGTCTTGCTCAGATTCAGCTTCAGCCAGGAACTGATCTCATCCAAGCACTGGGCCGTCATGGTAGTAATGATGTGGTCGTATGTGGTGAAGGTTGGGTAGAGCATATTGCTGGTTCTTGAGTCCATGTTGTCTGACCTGTTCACTCAGTCATTGTATGTAGATGCTGAAAAGGACCAGAAAGAGAAATGATCCTTGTGGAACTACATAAACCAGGGGTCTAGTGTTGAAGGTGCAGCTTCTCATCACTACTTGTTGGGACTGTTGTCCCAGAAGGATTCGAACCACTTGAGTATGTGAGGTTCAGAGACTAGATAACGTTTTCTTTTCATGGCCAAGCTAAAATAAATCCTTAGGCCTGATTCTCTTTTCAAGACTTTAACTCCACTGAAGCGAATGGAACTGTACAAATGTTATCTCCTGATTTACAACCATGTAAGTAAGATGAGAATCAGCCTGTTAACCTTTTACAGAAGTATGATGTTACGTTATTCCTGTGAAGCATCATATGCTGGCTGTGCATCAGACAAGAATCGTGCTTTATAAGTCATTATTACTTCAGCTCAACTTACACTAAAACCATCAGCTACATCCCATTTCCTTTATTTATAGTTCCTTTATTATTGGAAGCATCATACCCATGATCTGCTTTCCACTCTGTTAGAGATGGTAAAATGAATTGAATGTGATTTTCTTTTTTTTTCAGTGACAAGGAATCTCTTCCGCTCCATTGAAATCGATGGAAATCTTGCCAATGACTTCAGTAGGAGCAGGCCCAACCAACTGCCAAGCATTTTAGCTTTCCCTCAAAGGAGAGTGAGGAAGGCAAGAGCTAGGGCTTGTCTACACTTAAAGCAGCGGTGCAGCTGTAGCACTTCAGTGGAGATGTTACCTATGCTGATGGGAGGAATTCTCCTGTCGGTGTAGGTAATCCACCTCCCAAAGAGGAAGTAGCTAGGTCGATGGGAGAAGTCTCCTGTTGACCCAGCACTGTCTACACCTGGGGTTAGGTACATTTAACTGCGTCACTCAGTTGTGGATTTTTCCTATTTCCCAGTGTAGACTGGGTCTTAAAGTGCAACAATCTACAATGAATTAACAGGCCCTCATTACATCTATTCCAATGTGGCTTTACAGACAATTAAATGCTGGAAGTGTAGTGTACTGGAACATCTACTGATGTACTCTAGTTGTATCCAGAAATGTATATCTTTGCTTATATGTAGTAAATGATAAACCACTTCATTCATTCTTGCATAATGTATTCTAATCAGTGGTTGAAACAACTGAGGTTGGTCTGACACCAGCATTTCTTGTTAAATACATGCAGAATATACATATGGAAAATATTTATGCATTGTTTTATCTAAGAGATTTTCCTGCCTATTACTGTTCTCATGAAATTTTACCAAGGCTTTGTGTTTGTTCTCTGAACAGGGCTGAATTTCACCAATTCTGCATATCTATTGCATTGCCAATCACACATGATCATAATTTTAAAATCCTCAAGATACTGGGCCAGACTCTGCCCCGTGCCCCAGGGTTGGTTGGATTGACACATGCTAGCTCTGCTTGAGTTAGCATGCTAAAAATAGCAATGTGACTGCAGAGGCAAGGGCAGCAGCACAATCTAGCCACTCATATTCAATCCCACCCAACCCCCTGGCTGTGTACTCGGGTGGCTAGCCCAAGCGGCTGCTCATGCCACTGCAGCCACACTGCTATTTTTAGTGTGCTAGTCCAAACAGAGCTAGCGTGTCTGTCTATCTGTGCTGGGAACACTCCCAGCTTCTGTGTAGACCTTCTCTTAGACCAAACTCTAGCTATGCCTTTATCCAACAATAAGATCCTGATCCATCTCTTCACTGGAAAAAGATATGGGTGAGGAGTAGAACTTTTTTAGCCATTTATGCTGTCTATGAAGCATGTCATCTCTATATATCAGTGGCTTTCAATCTGTTGTCTGTGGAACAATTGCTGGTGGCCCATGGAGAACTGGCTGGTCACATAATATTGACTCTATTATTCCAACAGTTACTATTTTAGCTTCTTATAATGCAATTTATTTAATACATAAGCAATTGCTGTACTTGTGTCGTGGACCACGGGTCTTGATCCCTGGAACACAGGACTCTTAAGTACTAGTAAGCTCAACACTGCCACCCAGTGACCTGCTAATAGTTACTAGGGCAGAAGCCCTGAACCATAATGGAGGACTCCAGTCCTTGAACCTGACTGGCAGACTGTTGGGGATCCTGATTGATCCACAGTTCCTATATAAACCCCCAGCACAGGAACAGGAAGTTGTCCATGCAACTGGGATTCACTCTGCTCCCCTTCGCTGGCTTGATTTCCTGGCTTCTGACCTGGCTTGACTCCTGGTGTTTGTCTTGTGGTTCTGATCTCGTTTGTCATCTGCCTCTGACCCGCTGGTATCCCAACCTAGCCTGGCTCTGATTACCAATTCATGATTCTTCTATCAAGTTTATTTCCTGTTACTGAACTCCTAGTATCCTGACCTATCTGGATCTTGATTCTCATCCCATGACTGTGGATCCCGGCTCTGAGCACTAGGTCTGACTGCCTATGACCTGACTGTAACAACCTGCTTCTGAGCTCTTACATTGCAATGGCCACGAGTAATACTTTCTACTGTTTCTGGTTGGCTAGGAGACTCTGTCCCATCCTGGCCAACGAAGACCTGGCCTCAGTTATTCATGCCTTCGTTATCTCTTGGCTGGATTACAGCAATGCATGAAGCCTTCAGTGCTTGGGAAACTCCAGCTAGTACAAAATGTTTCAGTGTGTCTTCTCTGCAACACAGGCTACTGTGAGCATATCACATCTGTCCTCTGCTCTCTACACTGACTTCCCATAGAACTTCAAATCAGGTTTAAGGTCTCAGTCCTTCTATTCAAAATACTCTATTTTGGGCCCAGGATATCTAAAAGATTGTCTAAAGCTCGGGGAGGAAAAGTGTGGCCCCTCTGCTTCACTCCTCTGGCAAAATGGAACTCTCGGCAATAAGGGTAAAGCGCATCTGTGCAAGAGACAGAACCTTTTCCGGAGTGATCCAATATAATGTTGTAATGAAAGCCCTGAGCAATCAAGGACTATCACAGACCTCACTACTTTCTGCTTCAAGTGCAAGTCGCATTTCTTTGACCTTGCCTTCTCTATTCGACACACATAGCAACAGGTATATTTAACAACACAAAGTAAAAAATGTACCAAAACAAGATGCTTTGCTTCACATGCTGCGCCCTCTGGGATGAGGATGAGAGAACAAACACATGACAGATGTGTAGTCACATTGCTTAATGCACTGCTGGAAGGTTCTCAGATACTCAGGTGATGTGTGGTATAAAAACCTATATAGAATAGGACTGTTCTTCAATCATCAAAAGCAGGAGGTGGCCTGACCATCACAAAGAGGAAGGGAGGGCTCCATGGCAGAGTTTCTCTGTTAAGATGTGGTCTATGCTAATAAAAATCTTTGCAAATCCCTACTGTGTATTGTACATTGAAATCTTTGGGTAAATATAAATCTGTTATATAAATACAGGCATTTGTTTAGTAAAATAATTGAGATGTCCTAATATCAATGTCCAAGTACAGAGTCATAGAGCGATTTAAATCACAATTAACTAGTATGGGTCTGTCAATGTTAAATTTATTGTAAGGCTTCATTCTTTGTAAGTATCACATGGTGGTTATTGAGTTATATACTGGAGAGGAGAAAGAAAACTATTTATTGCCTTTAACCCCAGAAAATATAAGTGCTAAAATGGAGATATGATCTAACATTGCATCACTTGATACTAAATTTGGTCCGGTTTTAAAAATCTTCTGAAAGGATACAGGATAACTTTTAAAAATGGGCTGACGTTAGTTTGTTGTTTAATATAATCACATACTTATTGGGTAGATACATACACTATATAACAGCTTTTTGAGAAATCACAACAATCATCCAATGGGAGAGAGATTCAGACTATATTCTGTTCTACTCACTGACCATTTTAAAATCAATATTGGATGTTTTTCTAAAAGATGCTCTAATTCAAATACAAATTATTACGGGGACGTTCTCTGACCTGTGCCATGCAGGAGGCCAGACTAGAAGAACACAGTGGTCGGTTGTGGCCTTGGAATCTCTGAATCTCACTTATCTTCATGCAACTTGACTGCAGACCCTGAACCTGCATGGGTGTAACCCAAAGCAAAAACTGGTGATTTATGAGCGAAATATTTCCATAGCTGGTATTTTTACAAGCTGTTTACTGTTAGTTCTGGTATTTATAAGAAATGTTCATACTGACTCTAACAGGCAAATAAAGATTTCACCCTCTCCTCCCCTTTAAGGCAGAGAGTTGGCCATCAGAATGAGATGCAAAGGTCATCAGAATGTTTTCCCGGTTGTTTGTACCATGGAATAAGCTTACAAAATACAGATTTCACAATACTACGTTACCAGAATTTCCAATGGAAATCGTCTGAGCTGCATATTCGGTATAACTGAGGCTGCAGAAGGGCTTTCTAATCGAAATTGCTGAAGCTATTATAATCCTTGTCCATGTTAAACTCATCTATTATAACATTACAAAGGAAAAGAAAATGGTTAGTAACCTCCCATTTAAACCATTGGCAAGAAATGGAGAGAGCTTAGAAAGTCTACACTAAATGAATAATCGATAAAAGCAAAGTGACTTGAACAGGCACAGAACATCAATCCTGACTTGCTAGAACAATTAGTTACAGCCATTACTTGGGAATCACTAAAAAGGAAACTGTACCCTCTGCTCAATCCAGCAATTTAAAAGTTCTGAGAGTGAGAAGCACTTACTCTCATGAATAAACGGTGAAATGTATCTTTAAAATAAAGTTTTTAATTAGAACTGGCAGTTCTGAACCTGCTGTTGGCAGAGACCATCCTGCTGAAAAGAAGTCCAATGCAATAGACTGTAAAGTATGTCTCTATCCTGCTTTGGTACTTAACAATCAGCATTTAAAATTGAACATTGTGTTACATATTAAACATTACAGCTCTTTTCCCCAGTGGCCAAAGTAGGATGGAGATTTTGTCATTTCTCTCTCAGTGGGCTCTATATTCAGCTGGTGTCATAAATGATGTCACTTTGTTTAATAAATAAAAAACATTGGCCACCTGTGGTAATAGAGTCAGCAATCCTACGTGATAGTTTTAGTCCCATCCTGCAAACCTTTGTTGACTTAAGCACGTGGCTAGGTTACATTGGCTTTGATGAGACTTAAGCATGTGCTTAAAAGCTAAGTATGTGCTTAACTGTCCTGACTAGGGTCATCCTGAACTGGGTTTGCTGTGTCAATAGGAATGCTAATATGAGTAAGGACTTCTCAGGTCAATAGGGTTTTCTAGGATCAAACCCTTTATTTTCAAACTGGGACTGTAAACTCTGAGATGAGAAATGATTCTAACCCTGTGGGATTAAACTTTCACTTAAACTGAGCAGAATAAGTGATTTTGTTTAACATTCCGGGGGGGAAGAGAGCATATGTTTAAGGAATAGAAAGGGTAGGTGAATGGAAGTGCAAAATGTCCCTTGTGACTTGTCTCTGATTAATCTTCCAAGAAGAATGATCCAATCTCCTCTGCTTTCCTGCTGTGATTGATGGGCCTTTGTGGTTTCTGCACTCTTCCTCCTTTTAAATCTGCTCTGGCTGTTTTATCATGTAGCGGAGTCCATTTTTTTTCTATAGCCCAAACACAGCAACCCTTGTCGCTGACCTCATCAACCATGTGCTCAGCATGGGCATGAGTCACAATAGAAATTAGAAATCTTAGCTCTTTCTAATTTGGCCTTCTCGACGGGGAGCAGGGGATTCTGATATTTCCAGACTTGTTTACTGGAAGTCTTGTCAGTTACAATAACCCAGTTTAGCTCAGAAATCTTCAAACTGACCTGTCATTCCCAGCATGCTCCTCGGAGTCTAATTGAGGAGTTGCATTTTCTGTCAGCCACATGCGCTGGTGGCAAAAACAAGTATGTGAGGAACAACAGGGACAAGCTAGAAATGAGTCGAAAGTAAAGTTGCTTGTTTGACCAAGAGAAAGGAGGAGGCAGGTAGGGAAACAGGCTGGTTAGAAACCCATTGCTGCCACTGTTGGACATGTATTCCATGCTAGATATGCTCTGCTTCCTGTCCTGAGGTTAAATACACTGGGGAGGGAGAGGAGGCAAGCAAACAAGAATCTTTAGTCATTTAAGGTTGCAGGGAAAAGCCAAGGGGAGCAAAAGAATTGACGGGTGATAAGAGCTTCTACAAATATATGGGGGTGGGGGGAGAAGGAGTGTCAGGGAAAAGAAAAGTCCATTTATAAAGTAGGAGTGGTCTGAAACTAGTGGTGAGGGCGTATGTGGCTATGTAAAAGTTTGAGTATTGCCCTGTGCCTGCCTACTAGGAGCAGTGCTGGAAGTCTTGTTCATTCTCTCTCTCTCTGTGGTGTTCTCCTTAGTCTGAAGGACAAGTCCCCCAGACTGAAAGCACATTTCACTCTTGGTGGATGGGGGAAAAAAATTATATATTTAAAAAAACTGGCTGCAAAGATAGGCTTGCACAAAGAAAGAAGAGCAAAAGTTAAGCTTCCAGCGCCCTGATCCTGCAGTTGACTGCCCACAGAGCCCTTGTTGCAAATAAGCCTATTTGGTATAGGCACCCATATTTCAAAATCAGCACAATGTTATTCTGAACTGGCTAACTGACAGATCTCAAAGAGTTATTGTCAATGGAGACTCCTCATTGAATGTGGGTGTTTCTAGTGAAGTTCCGCAAGGACTGGTACTAAGCCTGGCAGTATGCAACATTTTCATCAATGGTCTGGAAATAAATAGAAAATCACTGCTGATAAAATTGGAGGATGACACAAAGATTGGTGGAGGGATTAATAATTAGGAGGACAGGGCAGTCATAAAGAATGATCTGGATCACTTGGTAAGTTGGGCCCGTTCAAACAAAGTGCATTTTAGTACAGCCAAATGCAAGGTCCTACATCTAGGAACAAGGAACACAGGCCACAGCGTGTTCTGAAAAGGATTTAGGGTCATAATGGGCAAGCGAATGAACATAGATTCCAAGGCCAGAAGGGACCATCTAGTCTGACCTCCTGTATAGCACAGGCTATAGAACTTCCCCAAAATAATTCCTACTAGGAAAAACATCCAATCTTGATTTTAAAATGGTCATTGATGGAGAATCCACCACGACTCTTGGTAAATTATTCCACTGGTTAATTACGCACTCTTAAAAATGTATGCCTTATTTCCAGTCTGAATCTGTTTAGTTTCAACTTCCAGTCATTGAATGGTGTTACCTCATGTTACATGGAACATGAGCTCCCAGTGCAATGATGAGGCGAAAAGGACAAAGGTGACCCTTGGATGTAGCAACAGAGGAGTAGGGAAATGATTTTACCTCTGGTATATGGCAAAATGGTGCAAGGGCTGGTGGAAATGCTGCAGAGCAAGACACTTAAAGTGCTTGGTCTGTGTAGCTTATCAAAAAGAAGATTGAGAGGTGACCTGATTACAGTATACAAGTACCTTTAAAGGGGAAAAAATACTGGGTACCAAAGGGCTCTTTAACTTAGCAGAGAGGCATAACACAAGCCAGTGGCTGGAAGCTGAAGCCAGAAAAATTCAAATTAGAAATGAGGCACACATTTTTAATAGTGAGGATTATTAACTATTGGAACAAGCTACCCAAGGAAGTGGTGGATTCTCTCTCTCAATGTCTTCAAATCAAGACTGGAGGTCTTTCTGGAAGATATGCTTTAGCCAAATGCAAGTTATTGGACTCAATCCAGGGGTAACTGGGTGCAATTTAACAGACTAAATGATTTAGTGGTCCCTTATGGCCTTAAACTCTATGAATCTATGAAACGGTTGTAAACCTCTAGGGCTAAATCCTTCTCATCTTGTGTCTTGATGGAGTTTCACCCATGTCAAGGGAGGAATAGAGAATAAGAGGACCATGAACAATAAGCAACTTAGGTTTAGAATGGTATGAATCTTGCCAAATAAACCAGATTTAAAAAAATAGAATTAGGGTTCAATCCTATAGATACTTCCATGAAGGGAACTCCCACTGATGTCAATATGAAAGTGTTCGGATACCAATGTAATGAGCATGGTATGTGAACAGATAGACAAATAGGTCAGCCAATAGAGTATATATAAGAGCAGGCCCGTAGTGGATAAAGAGAATGTTGTAGATGTAATATATCTGGATTTGACTAAAGTATTTGATACTGACTCATGAAGTCTTGAAAAATGAACTTAAATTGTTTTGGATAGGAACGCCGTCATGTGGGCTGAAACTGGCTGAAGAGAAGGGTAATGATAAATTGCAATGTATCGAAGTTGGTGGAGATGGCTTGTGGGTATGGCAAGGACTGTCGTTAGGTCTGGTTCTATTTAATGTCTTGATTAAGAGGACGTAAACAGCACAAGAGTAAAATTTTCTGATGATACTAAGCCAAGAGGAGATGCAAGCAACAGTCATCAGAGAAATAACACAAAGTGACCTAAGCATATTAGAAACATGGGTACAAAATATAATGTGGTTTAGCAGGAAACAATGCCAGCATCTGAAGAAAAATAATCTGAAATGTATAAACTTATTAGAAGGGGGAAATAGGGACAATAGTGGACAGCAAATTAGATATGAGTTTGCAATGTGAAATAGGCTGTATAGGTAAAGACATCATCTCTCAGAGCAGGGAGAAAATACTCCACCGGCAAGATTCTGGTAATGTTGCATTCAATTGTGGGCTCAATATTACCAGAAAGTTATTGACAAATTGGAGAGAGTTTGGACAATTGCAACAAAAATGATCCATGGGATTGGAAAAACTGTCTTAGAAAGAAAGATTAAGGCTCTGATCCAGCAAAGTACTTACATCCATGGTTAACTTTAAGCACATGAATAGTCCTATTGACTCCCACCACTCCCTTTGTAACTGCATTAGCTGTCTCTACCAGGTGGCTTCAGTGGCGCTACTGATGTGCTCAAAATTAAGCATGTGCTTAAGTGCATTGCTAGATTGGAGCCCAAATGAGCCCAATTTGACTTGGGGGAGCAGGGTAAAAGTTGACAAGTATATGAATGGTGTAAATTAGTTTCACTGAAGTCAGGAGCTACCCTGATTTACATTAGCTGTGGC